GTGCAAAAGGGGAGGTCAGGGGGCGCCTGGGTGGCTCAGTCGTTAAGCGTCTGCCTTCGGCTCGGGTCATGATCCCAGGGTCCTGGGATAGAGTCCCACGTCGGGCTCCCTGCTTGGCGGGAAGCCTGCTTCTCCCTCTCCCACTCCCCCTGCTTGTGTTCCCTCTCTCGCTGTGTCTCTCTCTGTCAAATAAATAAATAAAATCTTAAAAAAAAAAAAAAAAAAAGAGGTCAAGTGCCATACAAGTCACTTCACTGAGTGGTAACGGTACATACCAGCCCCTCTGTAAACACACATTCATATGTAAGAAACGAGGAGGTGATTCTTCCTGAGAAACAAGGCTCCCGAGAGAACTCAGGGCGGCCACAGCTGACGCTGCCTGGCCCCACACTGTGAATATGCCTGGTGCCATCAGGCCGGACGGTGTGTTAGTCTAGAGGAGAACGAGAGGTGGCAGAACAAGTTCCTCTGTGAACCTGCTCCTTGCAACTGAGAGCCTCTCAGGACTTTATTTTTTAAACTTTTCAAACCTAGAATATGTCTCCACTTCAGGTTCCCTTTTCATACTGCAAATGCTCCAGTCCTGCAATTGTTCTATTTCCAGGTCTGATAAGCCCTGAAGGACTTGCCATCGACCACTTCCGTAGAACAATGTACTGGACGGACAGTGGCCTGGACAAGATAGAGAGGGCCAGGCTGGACGGCTCTGAGCGCCAAGCCCTCTTCCACACGGACCTGGTGAATCCTCGGGCCATTGCTGTGGATCCAATCCAAGGGTCAGCTGGGCTTCCCGATTCCCCTGCCTCCTGTAGATCCTAATTTGAAGCCCTTGGATTTTAAATGCCATGTGGGGAGGGTCAGAAAAGAACGTAAAAGCTCCAATGTGTGAATTTAACAGTATATAGGATCTACTGGGTGTAGACTCTTCTAGGTAAAGACAAGGTCCATTCTTTCATGAATGCTTGCCTTTCCCCACACAAGCACTTGGTATACTTTTTAAAGTAAAAGAATTTTACCTACTGTTGAAACTGACAAACTTAGTGAACAAAAGATTTTCTTTTTTTTGCTAGTATTAGGACATTTTTAAATATCTGCTGCTTTACCAGTCAGTAGGCTAGTATGCTGAGAACATTCTAGGAGGAAGTAAGGTAGTAAACTAATGAATAAACTAGAAAATTATTAAGACTGTGGTACAGTACATAGAGAATTCAGAGACTATGTCAGAAGGACTGGGGCTGATGCGGATCAGATGATCAGGCCAGGCTGCCTAACACTTAACCTGGAATGAGGCGGGTCTCCTTCAGCAATGCATTAGGAAATCCTAGTGTTGAAATCCTAGGTTTATCTTCATTAAATGGTGAAAGCAACCAAAACTCTGAAACTGACACTTATTTCTTGGACTGCATTTTCACTATATTTAATTTATCCCACAGCAACTTGTACTGGACGGACTGGAATCGAGAAGCTCCCAAAATTGAAACATCTTCTTTAGAAGGAGAAAACAGAAGAATTCTGGTGAATAAAGACATTGGACTACCTAATGGTTTAACCTTTGACCCCTTCTCCAAACTGCTCTGTTGGGCAGACGCAGGTATTACTGATGGTAGCGAACACACAGCACTTCATTACCCTGGGGGCCACTCTCTACCTCAGAGTTTACAACAAAACCAGATGCCATCATGTAGAGCTTTTGGCTTAAATTTTTAACAGTACAGCACAGAACTTATTCCTTTTAGTAGGTGTATAAACTGTTAAAGAACACTTTGTATTGATACTTATAATCCTTCCTGGGGTTTTCGGGGGCGGGGGGGGGGCGGTGGTCTGTGAATTAGGTGGTAATTTGAGGGCTAGTACTATGTCCAACTCATTTTTGTAATGCTTGCCCTTCCCCCACACAAGCAGTAGGTATACTTTTTAAAAAGAAATTTTACTTTTGAAACTGACAAACTTAGTAAGTGAACAAAAGGTTTTCTTTTTTTTGCCAGTATTAGGACATTTTTAAATATCTGTTGCTTTACCAGTCAGGAGGCTAGTATGCTGAGAACATTCTTTGGAAAGTGATGTGGCAGGATGGCCATTAGTAGTAAGTTCGGGTTGCCAATACCCAAGTTCCCTCTTTCTGTAGTGTGATTTCCTTATTAGAACAATTTGAAAAGATGCTATATATGTCTACTTACATACTAAAGAATACAAAAAGGTCCATTCTTAAAGAATTTATAATGTAATAAAAAGGACTAGAACGCAGATGAGTCAATATTATAATCCAGTTGGTCCAAAACAAGTTACTTTTTTTTTTTAAAGTTACATTTTTAAAAACTATTTGAAATTTAAAGCCAGGTTCCATAAGAAACTTGTTTAGGTATTACAAAATTTTGAAGACTGCTTCTTTTACACTGAAAAACATGAGCCATGTTACCATTTTAGCTACTTTTAATTCCTACCTAGGAAATAACAGGTCTTTAAAAAATATTTAAGGATTTTAGTTAAAAGGCATCATACACTGGTTATGGAGGGCAAGTATTTATCTAGATGTTATGTTTACAATTTACGAGGTGACACTTGAAATTAATTAGAACAAAGTTTATCTCTAATGTCCTATTTTGGGAGAAAAAAATGCAATCCTCTCTTCCAAGAAAGGATCAAGAGTCTAAATTCTAAAAACTACAATGCTGTTAAACAAACTGAAGAATGGTAATAGAATAGGAAGATTTTAGTTTCTAATCTGTATCACTATATAATTAAAAGGTCTTATTTCCTATTCTACCTCAGAAGGCTTCTACCTGCCACAATTTTTGGCCAAGTTTTCTTTTCTCATGGTATGAATGATCTCATTTTCCCTCTCTGGTGTTTTAAAAGGAACCAAAAAACTAGAGTGTACACTACCTGATGGGACTGGACGTCGCGTCATTCAGAACAACCTCAACTACCCCTTCAGTATTGTCAGCTATGCAGATCACTTCTACCACACAGACTGGAGGAGGTGAGCCTGACACACCCGGGCCAAGCCTGAAAAGGCAGACTAGTCTGGAAGACATACCACCGTTTATGACCTTTTACCTAATGTCACTAATGACTTTAGTAATAAAGCTTTTCACTGAAGTTTTCATTATCTCTTAATTAGTAGATAACATTGTTCAAGTGTTATTGCTTTTAAAATCATACTTAACGGTATTGCTCACATGCTGCTCAAAAGTGGCAGAACTGATACTAAACTATCCAAAAAAGGAAGTGCATTAATCTAAGTCTGATCTTCAGAGAATAAAAGACTACACTTAAGTGGTACCCTGAGCTCTATTAGCTGTGTGATTTAAATTGATTTTTTTAAAAATGACATTATGGACATACTAGTTGTCCACCTGGGAGAAGGAAAAGTACTGTAATTTAGACTAGTTCTCCAAGGAGGAACATTAAAAACATGTCTAAGCCCTTCTACCCCATCCCTTGCAGTCTTGATTTAATTGGTCTGGCAGGAGGCCCAGGCATCAGTATCTTACTAGATCCTCAAGTAATTTGTTCAGCAAGGGTTGAGAAGCACTGATTTGCACCAGTGGTTCTCAAAATTTTACGGTGGCATCAGAATCATTCCAAGGGATTGTTAAAATATATTGCCAGGTCCCATCCCATAATTCCGGATTCAGTAGGTCTGAGCTCTAAGGCCCAAGAATTCAGATGATGCTGAATCTTTGAATCTAAATGAGTCAAAACACATTTGGTTAAATTTAAAAAATACATTCTAGAAGGCTAGCAAACAGAGATTCTCTATTGAAAGTGACTTTTTTTCTTCCCCACCTTAAATCCTATGAATTTACTCTTCCTTTCTGTTACCAGGGATGGTGTTATATCAGTAAATAGAAACAGCGGCCAGTTTGCTGATGAGTATCTCCCAGAGCAGCGATCTCATCTCTACGGGATAACTGCCGTCTATCCCTACTGCCCAACAGGTAAATAAAATGCTCAGGCTGCTCCTTTGGACCAGCAGGGTAGAGAAGGATGTATCTGGTAACCAATTACTTGTGGCCCAAATACGACTGCCACCGCCAGTGAGAGCCATTTTGAATGGAAAAGTTAAAGACCAACACATAGGGTACTAACGATTGTTCACCCCTAAGTCTACCTAGCTTAACTATACACATAAAAGGTCAGCCTATTAGGGTATTTCCGCTTAACAATACTTGCTGTTGCAACTGGTTATAAGATATTCACCCACTGTTCCTTCCACCTCTCCTCACAGGAAGAAAGTAAATATGGCATCACAAAGGACTTGGAGTTTACAATCAGAATCTGGACCCTAAAGAACATTTACTGCAAAGGTGAAGAAAGTGAAAAAGGAATTGGACTTACAAGATGAACACTTGCAGGACAAAGACTATATAACTTGTGAAAAGTTTATACCTCAATCTTTACTACTGTATTTTGAAAAACAAAAGTTACCACAAGTTTTAAAAAGTAACAATTTTAATTGCTGCTTATTAAAGCAATTTTTTAATAAACATTTCTATCATATTTAAAAGGTCAAGTTCATTCAACTAAGAACCAATCAGAATATGTGACAACCCTAAATCTAATTTTTTAAATCTAATTTTCTGGCCAAGAAATTAAAGCAAGGTTATCCATATAAAGATACAATCCTAAAGATCATAAGCCTTGACCTGGAGAAAGCTATGCAGAACTGGTGGGGGAAAAAACAACTTATTTATAGTTTTCCAGCGAAAGTTCTAAGTTTTGTTTTTGGTTTTTTTACCTCTGCATCACTGCATTTCTATTTATATTAAAAGGTGCTAGAATGTTTCAATTTGTATCTTCTGATTCTGTAAGTCCCTCTATAGTTACCCACAGAAGTTACTACATTTATAAATTAAAGATGTAACAATTCTCAAATTTTCTAGATTACTCCAATAAAATATTTTAAGTTTTCCTATGATTTGACTATCTGTATTGTCTCTGTAACAAAGCTCGGGGTCGGCATTATAGATACATAAACATAACAGTCAAAAAAAAAATCCACTTTCCTGAACTTTATTAAAGAAAAAGCAATGATGGTAAATCTCGAGAACAGAGTCAGTTTTCTAGGATTCTTCCCTTGAAAATGTGACATTTGATTTCCAAACACATGCCAGAGCGTACATGGTTCCCAATGGTACTAAGGAGGTGAGAAGCTGAAATCCTAAAATGTTCATCTTCCAACTTTCCCCAGTCTGTGGTCTGTCTTTGGATCAGCAATAATTGCCTGAACAGCTACTATGGCTTCATTAATTTTTGTCTGTAGCTCTCTGAGCTCTTCTATATGCAGCAATCGCAGAATTTGAGCAGCTTCATTAAGAACTGCATCTATTTTATAAGAAAACTGCATTAATCAGTATTCAAGACCATTTACTTGCCCATTTCTCCCCCAAATATTCACCTAGTCTCTAAAAATAGTTTGAATTCAAACAAAATCACTCACCTCCTGTGTCAAAACCAAGAATATGTTTGTCTAAAGCAACAGGCAAGCCCTTAAAAAAAAAAAAGACAAAATAAAACTTTATAGTTAAGATTCATGTTCTGTTCTCATCTATAACTGAACTAAGCTAGCTCTTGTTAGGCCTTTGAGCTGCAGTGGCAAGGGGGTGGAGAATTTTCTCTCTAGATTTGCCTTTTGATGAGTGCAAGAATGGCCCCTGAATGTAGTGGGAAGCTAGTTCCATCGCCCAGTCCCTCCTTTAAGACTAGGCATATAAAACAGTAGCTCCTTTGACGGCTATGCTCTGTTGCTGCTGCTACAGAAGGACGACGGAGCAGGGCTGCTCTATCCTCTTTCAGCTACAGCAAGCAGCAGAGTACAGGGCAATGGAATAGGATTATATTAAATTGTCTTTATACAAAATCTAAAATATCCATTACCTTTTTTTCAGCGCATGATTACCAGATTACCTATATATAATTTAACTTTCACTAAGAGTTCATTTGGAATTTACTTTAAAATCTAGGAAACTGAACGGATTCTAAAGCATTTAGTTAACCCGTCAGCAGCTCTCCAGAGGTACGCCAAAGATGGTGACCATGATGCCGAACTCTGGAGTTCACAGTAACAAGAACAGACAGTCTAAACACTCTGCTGATCATATACTGTATAAAATCTACACTTTCAATGTTACAAAATGCTAAGCTGTCACTACTTGATTCTTGCCTAATCTATTAACGCAAATCTACCTAGGCTCCAACTGCTTTCAAATAATACTACATTATGTAATGAAGAAATAAACGGGTATGTAAATTCAGCAAGCAAAACTAACAAGTAGAATTGCACTGAGTGGCTTTCTATGTCAGTCTTGTTTTCATTTTATTTGCCAACAGACCACCAAGGAACAGCTACCCCTAAAGATCGTGACCAAATGCTAATTATGGTTATAAACAGGAACACTAACTGTAAGAACTTCTCCTCTGTATTACTATATAGCATGGTATCTTGAGATGAACTAAACTTAAGACTTAGAGCACTGAAAATAAAATTTTACTTTGCAAACAAGAGCAAAAAGATCTGGCTATGCCCTTATTTACACTGCCTTCAAACCTAAGGCATAGTTTTGCTGAATGAATGAATGAATGATTTTATTATGCCAGAACAATTTACTGACTGTTCTACAGTGTGGGTGAAAGAAGCTGATCTTTAATCCAATTTCCAGTGGCCCGATTCATACATAATTAATAAGCAATAAGAGCCTTTAAAACAAACAGTGTCTTTCAGGGGGGACTACACTGCCCTGGCATTAATAACCTTTTCACACTGCTGGGCCCTGCTAAAGATGAGATCAGAGGACAAAAGACACTGGGGAATTAGGGGAGACAAAAAAAAGACCAGAATCAAGAATGTCCCTTGTGCCCAAGGCATTCACTGCAGTATCTATGCACAGCAAGAAGCGTTATCAGACACCTGCAGCTGCTGCTGCTAACCCCTGAGGACATTCTGAGAACTGTCCATACAGTCAGTGAGACTTTACGGAGTATTTGGATATCTAATGCACTTCATCTAAAATATCTCAGAATTAAGGGAAAAATAGTTACAGTGTATGGTTTCCTCAGCCTACAAAGTAGGCCTGAAAGAGGACAGGTACAGTCACCTGCACCCAGAAACTTACAGTCTAATATAGCCTCTACACCCCTACCCCTTCATGTGGGGTGGTCAACTAGCTCATGTAGGCCTTCACACAAAGACCTTTGTCCCCAACTACCGTAAGAGCACTTGGCTCTTCAATCAGACTGCCTGAGCTCAACCACTTACCAACTAGATGGCCTGAGGTAAGTTACTTTCTCATAAGTGATACTAGGAAATGTGAATAAAATGAGAACAGATTTCTCTGAAGAAACAAAAGAGAAAGGACAGGATTTAAGTCAAAAGAAGGAAATTAGTAAGAAAGACAATGTGTGTTCCGTTTTCCAGCAATGAGTCAAAATAACCCAGTAAATTTTACAAGGTAAATTCTCTTAAATAAACCACTGGGCACATGCAGTGGTTTGTGCTGGTAGACTGTGGATGTGCTATTGACAGCTGCTTGAAGGTATGAAGTGAGAAGTTTTTCACTCAAAAATGGCTGTAATTTGCTTAAGAACCAAATTCAATCCCACTGAAATAAGCTACCCTTTCTCCGGACAGTTCTAACAAAGAATGGTTATCTTAAGCAGATACATACAAAATTTAAACTCATGACAATACCAGAAGAAACTTTCATTAATAATTAATTTAAAATTTATTTAAAAAATAACGCATACCTCTTTCGTTTGATTTGCTTTAGCAACTGCATCCTGGGTCAGGCGCTCCTGGACCAAAATGCGAATTGCCTAAGAAACGCAAAAATAGTTTTTTGACTTTTTACTGGCTGTTCATCTTTTCTGCTCTGAGTCTAGAGAATAAGGATACCCAGTTTGATGAAGTCAGAATTACCTAGTTCATTAACAAAATTCACCAATAAATTAAAAACAAAACTGCTAATAGAATGAAAGTTTTCATTTTAATACTTTATAATGTGGAAAGATGCTCACAACAATTTAAAACATTTTTTGGAATAGGTAATTTATATGCATGAAAAAGTTTTTTAAACAAAGGATACGTGGTTTAAAAAAAAAAAAAAAAGTGTCTCCTTCCTACCCAAGCCTCAACCATCCCTCCAGACAATCACTGGAACCAGATTACTATGTATCCTTACAAGGATTCTATTATATTACAAACATGCTCAAGTATAAATACGCACACAGGCGCAAACTCTTGACACAAAGGGTAGCATAACATATACACTACCCTTAATTTTTTTTCACTTAATTATAGTAAAATGTTTTCAGATCTCTCATATGACACATTGTTTTTCTTCATCACCAAGGCATTTTATTATAGCAGATACAAGTGCATTCATGCACCTACACACACTCAAAAAATAAGATTTTTTAAATGGAATTTTAATTAGTGGATAACAATTGTAACTCAAGTGCAAAAACTTGAAAAATTATTACTAGAACAAGCCAAATGCTACATTTAAAAAGAACCAATAAACCAGTCTTTAATAGGAGTCACAAATTTATTAATCAGTTCAGTTGCCCAATAGTCAATATATATTGATTCTCACACGTGGCAAATCTATCAAGATGTTTTCCATGCTCTCATGGATTGTTTGAATGCTTCTTAAAATAACTCCAAACATGCAGCTTACAATTTTATAAAGCTTTTGATTATTGCTGATTTATACTTTTTCCCTTTGGGGTTTTAAAGTCTAACAGAAGTACCCCAAATATGCTAGTCTATTTGTCTTCTGACTCAGTTTATGATTAAAGGTGACATGACCACTGCCCAACTGTTCCAAAGCAATCTACATAACTGCCTGAGTAAGGAACAAGCCTTTGAAAGAGCTAAATTTCAATAAAAACAACTTTTTGTCTCTTTTTAAGAAGTTTTTATTTATTCATTTAAGTAATCTCTACACCCAACGTTGAGGCTCAAACTCATGACCCTGAGATCAAGAGTCACATGCTCTACCAACTCTCAACTTTTTGTCTCTTGGCATCCAGTCTGAGTTGAGAAAATTTGAGTTAACATGCAGATTCAGTATAGAGAATTATAATAATCTAGAAAGTTTTTCTCATGTTACAACTATCATTTAGAACATACAATTCTAAAAAGAGTAGAATAAGTTATGGCTAATCTCTGGTGGGTAGAATGGAATTTAACTCTTAAATTTACTGCAAAGTAGATTAAAATAATTTACATGTATAAGGTATAGCCAAATGCTCTTCAATTTCTCATAAAATCAATAATAATTTCTAAGTCTGGAATCTTAATTATCTTAAATACTACTCCCTTTCCCCCATCCTGGCCCACTGTACTATCACAATTACGTGACATAATCTTCTGAAGTAGAAGTATACTTTTCCTCTTAGAAATAAGAGATCTCGTTCAGATCATTGGGTTACCTGAAGTATAGGTATGAACTGAGTGGCCTATGTAGGATGGAGCACTAGGAAAACAAAAACATTCAGTCCTCAAAGAGATTTTGGGGCATATATTTTTTGCCAAATCCACCATGACTCATATGGCATTTTCTATTATCTTAGTGAATACAGATCACAAATCTTTAAAAGGATTGATTAAATATAAATAGGAAGATACAGGAAAAAGAATGGACCACATGGTCAGAGTGCCTAGATTAAAATCTGTCTCTCTCATTTTCTGTGTCATCTGGGACATTACCTATTCTCTTTAGGTCTCAATTTCTTCATGTTAAAATGAAAGGATATCAGCATCTACCTTCACTACCTCCAGGATTGCCGGGAGGACTGAATGAAATCATCTTTGCCAAGGACTGAGCAGAGTAGCAGGCACAAAGTAAACACGCTTTCATAATGGTTACTAGATAATCTAAAACAGATGAAATCATGAAATCTGCTTTAAGTCCCACACTCCTCCACATTTCAGTCATTTAGCCATATATCTACATATCAAACATAGGTAATTTTTAGAAAATGAGGTTTTTCTTCTACATACAGAGTTACTGTCAAGAATCAAGAATACGGGGGCGCCTGGGTGGCTCAGTTGGTTAAGCGACTGCCTTCGGCTCAGGTCATGATCCCGGAGTCCCGGGATCGAGTCCCACGTCAGGCTCCCTGCTCAGCAGGGAGTCTGCTTCTCCCTCTGACCCTCCTCCCTCTCATGCTCTCTGTCTCTCATTCTCTCTCTCGCAAATAAATAAAAATTCTTAAAAAAAAAAAAAAAGAATCAAGAATACGAAACTAACCTTAAGCATTACCAGGTAATCATCATGACGCTGAATCTGAAGAAGGTTAGCCAAAGCCATTACACCAGCCTTAAAATCAGGATTATTTACTATAAAAGATTGAAAATGGATACTTATAGCTCTGCAAGCATGTAATTACAGACATATATGTAAGCATATAAACTTACAAAAAAACATTTTTAATTTTCCTAACAAAAAAAAATCTGTTTTTAAAACTGCTGCTGCTAAGAGCAGTGTAGGGACACTGACAACTAGGTAAGCTGATCAGATCAATGGGTTCCCTACTGATAAGCCACACTGAACAAACCAACAAATGACTAAGTTAACTCACGGTAGGATTGTGCTGTAACTTTTCCTGCAAGGCACGTTTATGTAGCACTTTTAAGTAATATTTCTTCCCAACGCTATTAATTTTAAACTAGACCCCTTCAATGGACAATTTTCCCAAAACCTTTTCTCTAAGCAACAGCAGTCTGTCCAAGCAGCATATTAATTCATAAGGGTAAGCAGCTTATTAATTCATAAAAGTAACTTGTAAATTATTGGTCACAATGAATCTGTCACGAAACAGTAACTTAAATTATTATAATAGAATTAGAAACTTTATACTTTTAAAAAGAGAATACTTAAAGGCATCTGGAAGCAAAAATAATGAAAAGTTTTACCACTTGTGTCATGTCATTAGGTTAGAAAAAATATTTTATGCATTCAGGAAGGCAAACAATCACCACCATGATTAAATACAAATCAAAACCCCCAAATCAGTTATGAAGAGATCAAAGAACAGCATTCTAACAGATATTCAGCTATAAGAGGAGGGAGAAAACATCTTGTAAATGATAATAAAAAACAACAGAGATTAAAACATCAACATAAAGCACTCTTAATTTACTAAAACCAAAGAAACCCAGGTTTCCTCATTTTAGGAAATAAAGAACATTTAAGGGACCAAAAAAGTTGATTATTTTTATGCACTTACATACTTACCATCCAAGTTGATCAATGGCTCTGCATTTTTAGCTGCATTGTCAGCATTTTTTGTATTATCAGGTACCAAGTCCTTGTATTTTTCAGCTGTAAACAGAGGCAAAAATACAATCTGTACAACTGTACCTTAAGGTAAAATAAACATTGCTTATTTACTGAATTTACTTGAGCCAAACTGGTAAGACTAAGATAACTCATCCAAAGTTATTTTATGTTATTAAAAAATCCATCAGAAGACAATGTGACTGTAGCTTTCTGATTAAGCTAAAATGATTACTGAAATATCTATACAAATATCTCTTCATTATCATTTGTAAAAGTAAGACATTTCAACACCATCTAAGTTTGAGGAGAGAGGGTGTGCATTTACAGCTTGCTTAGAAACTTAGCAGGGGTAGAAGAGTGGGAGGAAGGTAGGTATAGGTTACATGAGATTCAACACAAATTCACTAAAAAGTTTCTTTCCAAATCTCTTGAATGCCATATATGGAATCCAAAAACCTTGCCTTCTAAAAAAATCAGCACTTCAAATACACCATCATACATAAACCTAAAATAATTCTATGGAGACCTGAAACTTAGAAGGCAGGTTTTATTACTTTTACTCGAGAAATACTTAACAATACCTAAAAAGACTTTACAAATGTTAAGTATTTAATAATAATTTATTAAAAGTAATGCCCAAAATGCCATCTTCGGTTACAGTGTTTCTGTGATTTGTAATGAAACAGGAGGGAAAATAAAAGCATTAAACTTTAAGTCAGACAGGGGTTAGCTTAAAGGAGTTCCCATTGGCCAAATCAGAACAGTGTAAACATCAAAATATACAACAACAAAAAAAACCATTATGCCCACTGAGTAAAATAAGAATACACATACCTACACTAATTTAAACAAACAAACATAAATTGGAGAGAAGGAAAAGTTCCTCTTCACATTAAAAAGCCAACAAATAAATGTAGAACGAATGATGAAATTAGAAAAACACATCTAACAACCATCATCAACATAATAATGGACTCAGGCAAGAATAATCAAATGGAAGCTAAAGGTAGAGGTAAACTTTGAGGAGCAAAAGCATACCGACATCATCTCAAAGTATCTCCCCACAAGATACATATTTATTACAGAGAGGAAAATATTAACTTTACAGTGGAGAAAACTTATCGAAGGGATCAGAACAACATGACCAGTAACAGGGCATATCACTAACTTAAAAGAACACATTACTTCTGTGTTATTCTTAACAAAAGTACAAACCTTGAATCTACTTATGAAGAAACATCAAACAAACCCAAACTGAGAGACATTCTACAAAATAAATGTCAACATGAAGAGGCACAAATAATGACTGAGTAAATGTTCCAGATGACAGGAGGCTAAAGAGATATAATAACTGAATGAAACACATGGTCCAGGATTGCTTTTGTTTTTTGCTTTTATAAAGAACATTATTGAGACAACTGGTGAAATGTGAATAATAGCTATATAGAACAGTTCTGAGTCAGTACTTTATTATAATTATGTGAGGCAGTGTCTTTTTTTTTTTTTTTTTTTTGGAAATGTGCATTAAAGTATGTAAGGGGAAAAGAATCATTCACAACTTATCATATTGTTGAGAAAAAAATTACATATATGTGTATGTGTACATAGACAATAAGGCAAATGAAGTAAAATGTTAACATTTGCAAAATATGGAAATGTAAAAATTCTTTGTATTATTTTGCAACTTCTGTAAATCTGAAATTATGTCAAAGAAGTTAAAAGAAAACATTTAAGTTAGATTTTAATCACCTTAATTGACAAGCTAATGAAAGGATTAAAAAATGTTAAGGCACAGATAATAAAAATCCACAATGGTTTCATCAAATAATACAAAATTTAAATACCTTAAAAGTCAAGAAGAATGCAACATATTAATGTAAAAGAAAAGAACAACAGCACCTCCTATTGATAAGGGACAGTATTACTACTTTAAACCTTTTTCCAAAAAATTAAACAAAAACTTGTTTTCTAGTTTAAATTTTTAATACGCTTTTGATACTACTTACTTTTAAACTGTAATTCACCTAAAGTTTCAAATAAAAATCAATTACAATTTTTCAATATAAAAAAATTTACCATATTTCAGATACAAATTCAGTTTTTGTTTTTTTTCCCACTAAAAAAGATCATGCTATCACTGATAGATAAATGTACTTAAGAGCTACAGTCAACTGTAGGGACACACATTATATGGCATCTACTGTTCTCAGTACCTAGGTAACCTAAACTGCAGTATTATAAAAACGGGACAAGTGAAATAAAAGAAGGGTAAAACAGAAATAAACTGAGATGTGACAACAATTTTATTTGGGAATAGCTGAAAAACACTTTGGAAAAGCTGGAGAAAATTTTGTTGCAAAGTAACAGAGTTTCTGCCAACTCAGACCACAACAGATAAAGATTTTGCTAAAGACCCTAAAAATCAACTAATGCTACCAAGGCTTATGATTACATTTATTTATTAAAGGAAGAGAATCACGGTATTTTCTTTCTAAACTAAAATTGAAAGTAAAGAAAGCCTTAGAGCTTTCCTTAAGATTTCTGCCATGAGGCTTCTGAAATTTAAGTCTGAGGAACCAGCAAAACACACTGGTTAATGCTCCATATCAGTATACGTAAACATTCATACACTATATTCACCAAATATTTATTAAAGATGATAAGCACATCTACTGTGTCAGATACTGCGGCAGTAAAATCATGACTGGTCCCCTGCCTCCCCAACTCCCCCAGACCCAAGATGTCCATTATCCCAATTCCTGGAACCTACAATTATGTTACATTACATGGCAAAAGGAACTCCGCATATGTGATTAAATTAAGGACCTTGAAATGGGGGGGCTTATATCCAGGTGGGCTCAATATAATCACAGCATCCTTACAAGAGGCATGAAGATCAGAGTCAGAGAAGATGTGACAATGGAAGCAGAGTCCCGAGAGAGATTTGAAGATGCTATGCTATAAATCTGAAGATAAACGAGCCAGAGATAAGGAATGCAGGCAGCCTCTAGAAGGCAAAAAAGACAAAAGAAATGGATCTTCCCATAAGGCCTCCAAAAGGAACCAGCCCTGTGGGCAAACTGACTTTAGTCCAGTAGATGTTGGACTTCTGACCTCCAAAACTGTAAGATAATAAATTGTGTCTTAAGTCATCAATTTGTGGTAATTTGTTACAGCATCAATAAGAGAGAGAGGTACTACATAGGAAACAATGAGGCAAGTAAGACATATAAGCAAAACGGAAAGTGACAAATGACATAAAGAGTATACAAGGCACAGAGTTAAAACCTATGAAAGTTGAAAAAAATATTATTGTTGCTAGGTGGCATTTAAGCTGGATCTTACAAGGATGGATAGAATTTAGATGTGTAGAGATAGACTGACATGGCATAATGGCCAAGGAAAAGTGTAAGCAAAGAAATCTAGGGGGAGAAAAAAAGATGTGAACAGGAAACAGCACTCTTATAGTCTGGCTGGGATGTCAAGTATGTGAATCCTGGTTAGACACCAGTATTCAAAGGCCTTGAATACCAGGCCAAAGGACCTGGAGCTCCTTTTGTAGAAAAAGGGAAAGCAATGGTGTTTCTGAATATATAATAAGAGCTGTTCTTTGAAAGCAAAGCATAACATTTTAAAATATTTATGTTTCAAAAACTAAACCTGGTGGGCCATGAGGATGAAAATAGAGGATGACGCTAAGGGGAGATGAGTTTGAAAGATACTACAATAAACTCAGCAGAAAACGACAAGAGCCTGAACCAGGGTGATAGTAGTGGGAATAAAGAAGAAAAGGTACAATGGACATCGGAAAAGATGGATGGTGACAGAATGGGAGGAAAAAGGAGAAGGCAAAAAGGCTTCAAAAGAGGCGCTTGGATGGTTAAGCATCTGACTCTTGGGTTTTCTTTTTTTTAAAGATTTTACTTATTTATTTGACAGAGAGAGACACAGTGAGAGAGGAAACACAAGCAGGGGGAGTGGGAGAGGGAGAAGCAGGCTTCCTGCCAAGCAGGAGCCCGATGTAGGGCTCCATCCCAGGACCCTGGGATCATGACCTGAGCCGAAGGCAGACACTTAACGACTGAGCCACTCTTGGGTTTCAGCTCAGGTCATGATCTCATGGGTCCTGAGACTAAGCTGCCTCGGGCTCCACACTCAGCAGGGAGTCTGCTTGAGGTTCCTTCCCTCTGTCCCTCCCCCAACCCCCGACTTTGTGTGCACACATGCATGCCCTCTATAAAATAAATAAACCTTAAAAAAAAAAAAAAAAAGGCCTCAAAAGCAGAAGACGAAAAGGACTGGAAGTGACAGCCCCATAGAAGAGAACATAAAACTCAGAGGATATAGGTAAGATAATTGGATTTGCATTTAGACATTGGCAGGTCTTTCAAAATCAAATGGTCTAATGAGAGGAAACATAAGTTTACTGGATTTTTTTTTTTTTTTTACTACAGGTACTAATTTTTTTTTTTTTACTGGTACTAATATTTAAGTTTCCAATAATATAAGTATCTACAATAAAACAACACGAAACATAAACAAGAAACATATTTTGGCCTATAGCACCTACTGGCATTAGATGTATGTTTCAGTCTCTGGTGAAATTACCTGCTGCAACCAACACTCTGAAATCCTATCAATTCTGGGGCTCTAACAATTTAACCCAGAAGGCTAAGGTACAGACTGAAAGATACCAAATTTACCAACGTAATGTTACTTTGTGAGAAGACAATTAACCAGGAGACACCATTCTCAAATTATAAAAGAAAAATCTAAATACCAATGAAAAACAGTTGCTTTTCATGTTTTATGATAAAAGACTATAATTTTTGAAAAGAAAACTCTTTCCTAGACAATTTGGGAGTTACTGGGGGGGGGGGTGAGAGCTGGACACAGAAGGATGGTTACAAAAGTAAACTTTTTAATAGATGCTAAAAAGGGAAATGAGGCTATATAAAACTTATTTACAACGAACCCAAGGTAAAACAATGTAAGACAAAGAAACTCAAACTGGTAAATTCCCTACATTTTAACACTCCTTTTGCCCCGCCTTTCCTCTCCCTCTCTTTAAAACACACATTCCCCACAAAACATACCATTATCTCCATATTCAAGTCTAACAGCTAAACCAAGAAGCCAGTCAATTGCTTCTTGTCGATCTTGAATCTTGAAAGGACAGTTTACATCTTTGAGATACTGTGAAGAAAAAAAATATCTAGTTTCACTATTACTATAACATCAGAGAATGAAAAAAATGGTAGAGCTGAAAGAGATCTTAGTTTGGAGCTCTAAGAATATAAACAACATTTACATTACTAAACTGTTGACACAATTATATAATCCAAAGGAAGGAAACATTTAAATGTACCACTTAAAGAAAAAATGTATTTCCATCATGCTTTTGGAAATTTTTACTTTTGCAGATTCCAGGTAGGGTGCCACTGTTCTAAAACAACTTCCTTATTTTACAGATGAGGAAAAAAGGCCTAGATAGTATAACACTTGCCAACATTTACACAACTTAGATCTGGGACTTGAACCTAAAACTTTCTGATTTCAGGTCTGAAAACACATGGAACAATTAAAAAAAAAAAAAAACCTTTAAAAAGAAGAATATACAAATAAACCAATTATTATCTAAACCTTAGCTTTCATATTACGGAAATGCCACTGAATAGAGTAAACCATGTGACATACATGTAGAATGTAACCAAGCATTTTAGATGATTGCCAGAAGCTGTATATCCAAGTGACCACTGTCCTTCAAATGGGTCTCTTAGGAGCTTAAAATCTCATTCCAGGAACAATGCTATTAGTCAAAACTTCTGCAACTCCCCTTTGGAAATCCTTTTGGGCCTAATTAATAAATCAGTACTTTTAGCTGTAACTCATTTTCTAACCAAAAATTTTATACCCCTGCTTTAAAGAAAACACCTCATTCACAAGATTTGGTCATGATGCAAAAAACAAATCTACCTTCAAAGTATAAAAAATTACCAATATTAAAGATATTCAAAATATGTCTCATGATCTAAAAGTAATTCCAAAAGTTATGAATATGCTTTAAACAATGACATTATCATTCCAAAGAGACCAACATGAAAGATAATGTCTGTCTGGATTGTTTAAGTTATCCTACTCTACTGTCATCACTTCTAGGTGTTTTTCATTAGAAAATTTTTTATATTCTTCAAATACCCTTCTGTGAAACTATGTGTTGTCTTGTTACATGAATGGGTCATGAGATGTGATATAAACAAATATAAAATCCTAACAACATATTTCCAAGTCTTAAACATATCAAAAATTTCAAAACAAACAAACAAACAAGAAAAACTTTTTAAGTGCAAAAGAAAATAACCCAGTAGTAGCAATAATGGTAGTACAGGCAGGGGAAATAATAAAGCACATAGCACTTGCTATGGGCCAAGCATAGCTATGTATCACTCATTAACAATACATGCCACTGCTCTGACATAGGAACCACTGTTATCCCATTTATTGATGACAACACTGAGACACAGAAAGCTTAATAAAACTTGCCTGTGGTCATAGAGCTAGTGTGTAACTTACACAATTCCCTAATTTATAAACTCTCTGATTCTAAAGAGAAAGTACCTGATCACTTTACAGCAAATAAAAAATTTAGTCACTTTTCATATTTTTAAAGGAAAATATCTTACTCTTCAAAGTAATATAGCTGATTAAAATGTTTAATGTAAATAATGATGCTGGAAAATGTGATCTTTACTCTACTTTGAAAACAATTCCCTTTTCTGCAAAAATGTTACCACAATTACACTAAGTCAACAGGAAAATTAGCCCAGCCACAAAAATAAGATATATACACAGACCTTTTCAGGATTACTTATATTGTGCACAACAATGGACATCTGTGTACGTTAAACAGAACCACAAACAAGAAATAATCTTAGTGTTCAAGCATGTCAGTGTCTTCCTTTAACAAAGTAAGTGTGTTATAGCTACCTTTTGGTCTAAAGAAAAAGTCTGATTTTGGCCACCTTTACCATTTATAGAATACATGTCACCGTTTATTTAAGAAATCTCAGTGTTTTCAGACAAAACTTTCTAACACTGAAACCTTGTAAAAGGTAACATGATTTGCTTTAAAAACAAATAAAAAAAATAAATCCCTGAAATCTAGCTTTTCTAACACCGATCATTATTATTTTTACTTATTTTAAAAGAAATTAATTAA